AATGTATATATTGAATAAGTCCGTTGAGAAGACACATCCTTGTCTCATACCGCTTTCTATTTTTGTATATTTACCGAATTTATTTTCTATCCGTATGCAGGCAATTTGTGCCAATATAAATTCTGGATTATTCTAACATCTGGGAAGTGTTTCACTATTCCAATTCACCTTTGGATTTCGGTGTTGCATTTTCCATCCTTTGTTAAACAACCCCCAGATATTTAAATTGTTTTATTTGGTTGATTTTGCCATCTCCAGTTTGTAATTTGCATTTTGGGACATCCCTTTTGCTAACAAACATATATTCTCACTTCTTGCAATTGATGTTTAGTCCTTTCTTCTTGCTTTCCTTTACTACCTTTTCTACAAGGTATTCTAGTTTCCTTTCCGTGTCTGCTATCAACACTGTCATCTGCATACGTCATGTTGTCATGATAATGTATCCTGGTAGAATTTCTAATTCTCTCAGAATCACATCACTGTAAAGATTGGATATGTCCGGTGAGAAGATACATCTTTGTCTTACACCGCATTTTTATTTTTGTATATTTCCAGAATTCATTTTTTATCTGAATGCAAGCAGTTTGCAGCCAGTATTCGTTCTGGATTATTCTAATATCCTTCCAAAATAGTCCAAGGTCACCTTGCAGTTGAAACAGTTCTAACAGAATATAGTCTACTGTAATTTATACATATTATGTGAAATATTGATGTAATAAAATAACCTGACCCCCCCCCCCCCGCCGCGCCATGAGTGATTACACTATAGGTACTAACTTCCTATAAGTATCTGTAAGTCAACGGACTACGGAGACTACCCGAAATCATTTTCGGCTAGACGGTCTAACTCTCTGACTCTTAGCAGAGAGGAACTCGGACGAGGCTCTACCGAAGGGCACAGTTTCGTCCGGAGAGAGAGACCGACCCGATCCCGTTTATGCGGGTTCTACGGGGAATTTTTGGCTGAACCTAAGGGCTCGGATGTCCCCCTTTAAACTCAACCTTTGCCACATCTACCCTCGTGGTGGGAGGCTAGCAAATACCGACTAGCTGGGATCGTTTTTAGCTGTATTTGTCGAACTCTCTGCCTTCGAGCAGAGAGGAACCTGGACGAGGCTATGCCATGCGCACATTAAATTCGGCCTTGCGCATACGTGACTGCGTTGGGCAGTTGCTAGATACACTATCTGGGATCTTTTACAGCTGTGCTGGTCAAACTCTCTGCCTCTGGGCAGAGAGGATCTACAGACAAGGCTATAACAACCTACCACGTTTTATACGGGGTCTACGGGGAATTTTTGGCCGAGCCTACGGGCTCTGATTGACTCACATTAAATTCGGCCTTGTGCTACATCCTGTCTCGTGAGGAGGCTGGTAAATATCGACTAGCTGGGATCTGTTACACAGCACTTTGCTGCGGTTAAACTCTCTGCCTTAGGGCAGATAGGAACAAAGACGAGTCTATGTCGAATGACAGAGTCTCGTCCGGGGAGGTAGACAGACTTGAACCCGTTTATGCAGGCTTTGCGGGCTTTTTTGGCCGAGCCTACGGGTTCGGATTGCCCCAAATTAAATTCGACCTTGTACCACATCCTGCATTGTGGGGAGGTTGGTAAATATTACTAGCTGGGATCTGTTGAGTACGACTCACACTTACGCGAGAACTACCGACCTTTCAATAGTAGCACTCACTACTGGATTGACATGCAACGACCTTGTGCATAAATGTTACATTTATTCTTATTGTAATGTTTTGTTTTTTTTACAATAAACCTTTACTTATTTTATCCACCTTGTTTTTCAAGTATATATTCCTATTAGCATGGAATATAACAAATATCTTACAGGTTAGTAGCACAAATGGATCTTTTAATTACCTTTATCAGTATCCTTGTATTCATATCCATTTATTGGCACCTAGAACCTTACAGCATAGAGATGAACACAAAGTAAATGCTCTGATTATTACTTGAGGCAGTCAACTGAATCTCACTTTGATTTTAAAATAATAATAACCACCAAAAAGTGAAAGTGGCACAAGGGGAGTGAGAACCGAAACTGGCACGACTAATTTCTCGAAAAAAAAACAAAAAAAAAAACAAACCTTTAAATTTTTAAACCCTAAAAATCTTTCAGGAATATATTGCAGAAATTTAAAACGATTAATCGTATTTCTTACGCAAACTGCCGTTGGGGAGGAAGAAGTAAAACGAAAACAATTATATTCTTAACCAATTCAAATCTGAGAAAGATCTCTCTTTTCTCCTTCTCTATATCCCCTTCTCGTCACGTGACGATTTAATAGTCACCTTATTAGCTTCAGCTGTGCGTTCCAAAAGCGCTCTCTAGTCGAAGGAGGTAACAAAAAAAAGTTGCTATTAAAGAGAGAAAAGGGGCGGACATTCTATTACGCTTACTGGTTATTTCACTTTGTGCTTTTAAGTATATATAGATATAATTAGAATCTATTTTGGGATAAACCTGAATAAGAAACAATTATTTACAAAGCTTGGCTTATTCTGGTACAAGGCCATGCCAGTAGGGAACCAAATAAACAATGAACACACGACCTAAGGAAATTTACTTGAGAGACGTTCTCATGTATTTATTGTGTTGAATTTTCTTCGGTACAAGACTACACTCAATGACCTTTTCTTTCTTTTTTTTAATCTTTTCACCCCATTCAAGGTAGTAAAACCACTAAGAAACAAGGGGTTACTGAATGTGAAAAAATAAGAAAAAAAGAAAAACATTATTAAGGAGTAAGAACAATAGAAGAGTAATCAAGAAGACAGTAGATAACGATTGGCATTGCATTTGAATTTTTAAAGATCGATATTGGATTGAAAGTATAGCGCCACAAGTGAGTTCCAAAAGCAAGAAGTGTGAGAAAAGTAATCGTTAGCATAAAACTTACGGTTACATCTGGCTAATTCAGTTGTGAATTGATGAGACCTCACTGCCAATCTAGTTCACAGCTTAAATTCATAAAGTCTAGATACCATAGTTCATCCTAAGAATTAGTATCAATGCATTTAAAAAAAAAAAAGGTCACATGAAAGTTACATTACGGCTAGTGAGGAAGTGACTGAAACCAACATGCCAGGTCAGGACCAATATTATTGCTGATTCTTCTTTGGGTTTCATTTAATCTCTAGATATACAGCAGGATCACCGGACCAGTTGTGTAAGCAATATTTTATGCAAGAACGAATGGGAGAATTATAAATACTTAAGACAGATTCAAGAGAAAAAAAAAACTGTCTTTGTCTACCAGTAATAAGGAGTGCCAGAGAAAAGCGATATTAACAACAAAAATTGCAATATGAGCTCTGGTAAAAACATGATTGATAATAGCAAAAATTGCAATATGAGCACTGTTAAAAATGGTTGCTGAAGACATCAGGTTTATATTACACAGAAATTCATATACAAATGTCCTCAAGTGGATAAAGGCGTTGGTTAGATCCAGTGACAGGACCCAAAGAGTGTGAGTTCAATACCCGGTAAAGGCAGTGGAGAACTTTCAGAGGGAAATTAACAGGAGATAACTGATAATTGACATCCATTAAACATGGCACGTGGAACTAGAACAGTCTACCCCAGCGAGCGAAATAAAGGCTTCAGTTCGACATTCCAACCACCTGAAGAAGGCCGGAGCGTACAACGGCCGAAACGTTGTAATAATTATGGCGACAAAAATAAGGACAATAGTCTGAATAGTGTAAAAAATTGTCTAGCGCGACCATTTGAAACAACTTTTTTAGCAAATGATACTATATATTTTTTCCACTTGTCAGCCGGGAATTTAAGCTCGACAAGGCACAACGAGTCAGTGGAGGCTAGCATCAACGAGCAGCTAGAGACATGAAGGGCTTCTTTCTGTGATTGATAGAAAGAAGCTTCCTTTTGGAAGCATTAGAATTAAAACAATGCATCCCTTGCCCCAGATAACAACAGACCGTGGGTCATTAATCTCACTGGCACATTTCTCAATCGGAGGGTTAAGAATATAAATCCAAGAGGCTGTAACAAAAGAGGTGGATTTCGAACAAGCAGGAAATCAAGAGGTGCCACGCAATCATATTAACCATTGTGCTGCATGAGACATATTTGATGTGCTTCGGTAAATGTTTACCTGAAGTTAGAAAACTCGTTCCACAGTTAAAGCTTATTCCCCGACTGTAGTGAGTCTGATCCTTATTAAGGCGAACTTAATAAATAACTTCATCTGATACAGTGGCAATGATTTAGTTTATGCTAAAGTGAATTAGATTCTTACCATATTTTTTTCAATGGCGCCTCGGATTTAACACATCCAACGAGCGGCCGCTTTTATTTATTTTTTTTTCAATATTTTGTTTCCTAACAAGTAATCCCCGTTTCCGAAATTTGATACACTAGATTGTCTAAATCTTAAAATCCCAGAAAGAATGATGATTTATACACTGTGTCAATTCTATTATGCAATTACACAACCGCTTTCTCGGATAAATAAGCCTATTTACTTATTGTTTATAATTATGCAGTCGATCTATCGATTTTGAGGGCTTCGCATTTGCGAATTCAAAAGAAGGAAAACAATTTTCCAAGTCTATAATATTTTAATTAGGTAATGCCAGAATTTGTCACGTGCTGGGCACTGGCCAGCGTTTTTCACAGATGCCATTTCTCCCAAGCACTCGTTTTTGCATATTGACCCCACCATATCTTATTCGTTATCCACGTCTGTGCAAACTGCAGCATTTGTTATTTTCACGGACATTTGAAACGGGAATAACTTTTAGACACATTTCGCCCATTTTTAAGATAACGTAATATAGATAGATATGAAAAGATTGAGATAGATAGATAGATAGATAGATAGATAGATAGATAGATAGATCGCCCATTTTTCAGGTAGATTACGGAACTTTTACTAAAATCTAATAATTATTTTCTTTTGGGGATATATTTTGTTAAATCGAGGTCTTTTCGTATAAAATATTAAATCAAAAATTATGTTATCTATCTATCTATCTATCTATCTATCTATCTATCTATCTGCGCTTATATGTACAAATATGTTGATTGATTCGCTTTATAAGGATTATCAACATGTACTGATATATAAATATAAATATATATAAATTATGTACACACACATAAATACACACACATGTATATATATATATGCATACATTATATATATATATATATATATATATATTAATGCACGTTTCATTAAATAATATAGACAAGTTTTGTCTTTATTTTAAGTAATTTCCTTTCATATTTTCTGATAAGCTTAATCACATTATCATTGAAAGACGAAAGGAAATCACCATATTGATACAGGTTTAAATCCAATCTAAGCTTTTGGCTTACATTCCACCAATAATGCCACTAAGACGCATGGGTTTACTTGGAGTAGAAAAGAATGAGAATACGTTTGTGAGAAGAAAGGACAATAAAAGAACAGGTTCAGGAAGACAGAAGATGACGATCGACGTTGCATTTAAATCTTTGAAGAGTGTAGGTTACACGGAAGCAAGAAATCGGTAAAAAAATTCCATAGATTATGAAAGAAATCTCTTAGAATAGAACTTACGGTAAACTCTAGCCTTTTTAATAGTAAAATGCTAGTGTCAAACTTCGTAGTTTGTATAAATTTAAAGCAGTTGAGACACTAAAGTGAAAAGAGCAACTGTTGTGAAAATATTTAAGAGATTGAGAAAGTGACTGTTGTCGAGGTACGAGCTCAGGAACGATTCATTGTTGTTTACAGTTAAAAGATGTCATTTTTCTTCAGAAAGTTCTTTCTAAGACACACACACACACACACACACACACACACACACACACACACATATATATATATATATGAAATAATATAGATTTAAGGAGTGCTATATTTATGGGATAAAGTGCCGAATATCAGAGTATGTAATTATGTATGTATGTATGTAAATATATATTATGTATGTATGTAAATATAAAAGTGAACATTGAAGTCAGCACTCGGAGGCGACAGACTTCTTCAAGCCGTATACAATCTTCAGGCCATCAAAAGTTACCCAACATCGCTTGATAATGGAACAGTTTTAAATTCCCAAACATAGAAATTTCCGTGTCACGATGTAAAATAGAGCTAAATAAAAATATTATAATATTATCACTACGCTGTATCGACCACTTTAAAAAAAAGTAAATGCTAAGGAACTTCTTTCTCTTTATTTGGACATATATACTATAAAAGTGGACATTGAAGCCACCACAGAGTGGTGACAGACTGTTTCACGTTTGAACGTTCTCTTCAGGCCATGCATGTTGTATAGTGGTTCAAATATTCATATATGTTGGTCAATAGGGCATTATTTTTTGGAATGTTTGGTATTTACGGTATGCTGAATAATCTTAACGGTTATTGGCTAGATGTCAATGGTTATATTTTAAATTAATCTTGCGGCATAAGAGTATAAATAATTTTATGTTAGAATGTGGTTATTTGTAGCTATTTTATAGCAATGCTTGGTAACTTTTAACTCATCAGTTATTACTGATTAGCTAGGATTTCTTATATTTATACATTAATTATTTGTTATTGATAACTATTATTAAATTTATTTAGTTGTGATTATTCGCAATTTGTTAATCTTTTATTACTTAATTTGATTATATATATATATATATATATATATATATATATATATATATATATATATATATATATGTGTGTGTGTGTGTGTGTGTGTATACAGGGTACGGTTAGTATTTGACGACATACAGATTTAACATTAATACTGCTCCCCACTAACTTCTAATGCTTTTATTTTTCAGAAATCAAGATTGGCAAACCGAATGATAACAAATGAAAGGCAGGGTGTGATTGTAGCATTAAAGGCTGATCATAGCGATTTTGATATTGCACGTTTCCTCAGAGTTGCAAGATCGTTTGTCCACAAGATACGAAAAGAGTTAGAAGACGCTGACAGTTCCCCAATGTCTGCATCAAAACGTAAAAGACATTCTGTGAGAACATCCGAATTTATTCAGGAAGTCAAGCAGACAATTGATGAAAACCGAGGTCAATCAATGAGGTCAATTGCCAAAAAGCTGCATGTGTTTGAAAAAACAATCATAAGGAGTGTTCATGAAGACATTCGATACAAGTCCTACGTGATGAAGAGAGGTTAATTTATGTCTGAAAAAACAAAAGAAAACCGTTTAAACAAATCCAAAAGGCTTTTAAACAAACTTAAAAATCCTTCAAAAGCTGGTGTGATTTGTTTTTTCTCAGATGAGAAAATTTTGATCAAGATCAAAAACTTAACAGAAGAAATGACAGATGGCTTTGTTCAGATCCTTCTGAGGTGCCAAGAGGGATGCACACAAAATTTCCTTCAAGTGTTATGGTATTGGGTGTTGTTAGCAATGAAGGACATGTTATGCCACCACACTTTTTTCCACAAGGTCTTAGAGTAAATGCTGCTGCTTACATTGAGGTTCTAGAAACAGTTGTCAAGCCCTAGATTGACAACATATGCAACGGCAGACCTTACATATTCCAGCAAGACTCCATCCCACAAGGCTCTACGAACACAAGAATGGATGGCTGACCATTTATACGACCACATAACGCCCAACATTTGTACTCCTAACCTCCATATCTCAATCCACTAGACTATTATGTGTGGAGCGTTGTTGAGAAGGAGGTTAATAAACAGCCTCATAACACCAAAAAAGCTGCAATAGTTTGAGTAATGTCTGACATAAACAAAGAACAATTAATCAGAGCTTTCAGCCGATTTTGACCTCGTGGAGAGACAGTTATTGATGTTAGTGGTCGTTTTATTGAATAAAATGAAATGATAGCTAAATTTCATGTTTACTTGTTTGTAATCAAATATAATTATATTCATTTGTTCAGCAACTAATCCATAAATTCTGTCCTCAAATACCGACCGCACCCTATTTGTATATACACACATACACACGCATATATATATATATATATTACATCGAAACATATCAAACTCACTACAAAATTGCAATCATGTTTCGATGCGTATCAATGCATCTCTTCAGTTGTTTGTAAATTACTGGCGAATACAACCTCCTTTACAAAAAAAGAAAAAGTGGGTTGATGAGGATTTTAGGCTTTACTCAAATCAACCAATCAAATATAACCTACGTTAAATGTAAACTAAGTGAAGAATAAAAAATTCAGACATTATTATTATTTGGTCGTCAATGGCAACACAGTCGCTAAACAGGAGCGGATGTTAATGAAAACATATTTTACACCCTAGACAATGTCATTTCCAAAAAAGAAAAAAATGAGTTGGATTTGTAATTTAACAAAATGTTAAACAAGTTATATGCTCCGTATGAATATTTGTAGTACCCTATATAAATTTTTTCATAGTTGATAAATAAATAGCTTCTTTAAGAAGATTTTTTAAACGTATAGAATTACTTGGTAAATTAATATGCAACTGTTGATTTAAGATTCTTTATATAAGATATTAATCACAATAACGAATCAATGCAAAATGTCAAAAATACCAACCAAATACCAATACATCCGTACAAGATGTTACTAATACTACCAGGAGATTAATACAAACTTATATTAAATGGAAATTAATCTTACCAACAGAAAGATAAGCCATAAATGGTGCAACACAATTCAACTAAAATCTGAGAAAAGCATTGTCAAATTCCAAGTCTAACTGAATTGTAAGTTAAAAGGTAGACTGTGTTTACAATTTACAGTTAACACGGATCTTTGTCTTAATAAGGCATTCTTATCAAAGAACCTGATAACTTCCAATTTTTCATGTAAAAACAGAAAAAAGTGTTCGTGTAAAGATCTACATGTCCGGAAAGTGATGTATTATTTCTATAAGGGTTATTAGTAAAGGACAACACGTTGAGAGAATTCTTAGTACAACCAATATAGAACTTCTCAACAGTCGTATTCCCTATTGTAGAGATAGTACAATTTGTTTGGCAGTGGGCATTGGTCAGAATTCCTACAATTACACTGGCCAGTAATCATTAACCATATTTTCCTTGGGAATTGTATTATGATTCAGATTATTAAATTGGTTTGAAATGTTATTATTGTGTAAATTTATGATCTTCTCAAGATTATTGGTGCAGCTATAACTTAATTTTAATGTGTTTCTGTTCAATATTTTACTAAGAGGGTTAATATTAGGAAGTGTAGCTCTACTTTGTATTGAGCCCTCTTTTAAATTAAATGTTAGGAACGTTGGAATTGTACACTCTTCTTTTTCATCTTACCTTACCTTTATAAATGCTCTTCGGTTTTAGTTTCCCCCCCCCCATATTCCCCCCTTTTTTTTCTCTCTCACATCTTCAGATTTTTAAATTTAGATTATATCGTCTTTTATTGTGCGTAATGTCACCACAAATATATAAAGCCATTTCCGGGCTGGTTTTTAATTTAATTTAGGTCAGCGATTCAGTAATGAATCTTGCATCAGAAAATAATTCATATTTATCTGTATCTCACTCATTTAAACCGTCTTTTAACCTCTCTCTTTAAAATTTATCTCCGTTAAATTTGAATCCCCACCTTCACTTTTAGGCCTTCCTGTTCTTCTCTTGTCCGTTACCCCTCCCTATAGCTTTCATTTACCTCTCACATTCGTCCCACACTCTAATACATACACACTCACTAAATTTTATTTTTTATTCCTGGAGTTATTTTTTCTGATTTCTTTTTGAATTTGTAGGTCTGATGAATTGGATCATATTTATGATTCAAATGTAATAAATTATAACCATGGAATATTAGTATGTAAGCCTTTTTATTATATTCTTACTCTGTCCTGGACATTGAGTTCTACCTGGATTCTGTCATCTTGGAAATTTATATATATATATATATATATATATATATATATATATATATATATATATGTGTGTGTGTGTGTGTGTGTTTGTATATATATATATATATATATATATATATATATATATATATATATATGCTAATTGAATGAGAAAATGAAAAAAATACATGTAATACGTCTGATAAGCAGATAAAAATTTTTGGAAATGGCTTGTCGTACTTCTTGTCTTTTGC